TAACCATGAAAGAGCTCTTCATTTCTAGCTACCATACCCATAATATTACAATCTGGACCCCACCTGTCTCCCCGCTTCCCCTGTCTCGGTGGAGAAGTGTCTTCTCTTGCCCAGGATTCACCCGTCCCTCCCTGTGCTGGATTCAGCCCCCGGGTGCCTTGCCAGCACCTCACTCCTTCAGCCGAGCGCGCTCTTCCGTGCCAGCTGGCTCTCCTCCCTGTGGACTCCTTCCCCCCGCCTTTGTACATGCTTCAGTAGCTCCAATTTTAAAAAAAAGAAAAAAGGGCATCCTTCAACCCTGCAGTTCCTTTTTAGCAGTCCTTCTTGCTCCTCCCTCTCTGACCAGACTTAGAAAGTATTTCCACTTAGAGTCACCGATTTCTTGCCTGTCCCTTTACCTCCGTGCATCACCTTTGGGCTCCCCGCACCACCTCTTCACTGAAACTGCCCTCAGTAACGTCACCTGTCTTCACTGCTAAATGCAATAGATTACTTTTCTATTACCTTATTTGACAGGACATCACTACTTCCTCTGTTTACAACTTTTGCCTTGCCTTCCATATCACACTACACAGATTTTCCTCCTCCATTTACTTTTTGGGTTATTTTTTTGGTAACTCTTAAATGCTGTTATTCCTTGAGGCTCTGTCCTGGGCCTGAATTCTTACTCTGTTCATTATTCCTGGAGAATCCCACCCACTCTCACAACTTCTGTCATCATCTAATAGCTGACTGAATCTCTGTGCCTAGACCAGATTTCTTTTGAGCTTTAGAAAGAAGTATCAGAGTGCTTGCAGAACATACCTGTTTAGATATCCCATAGCACCTCAGACTCAGCTTATCAAAAACTGAGCCCCATCCTTCCCCATCCAGTCTCCTTTCTGAGCTTGGTTTCTCAGGAAACAACTTCAACATCTGCTGAGTTGTCTAAACCTAAGCTCTGGGCTTCCTCATTCTCCGAGCCCCTTCATCTGTCCCCCATATCTAATCATGAAGTTTTATTGAATTTTATCAGCAAAATATTGAAAATGCCTTCTTTTTCTATGGCCAGTGCCTACCTTTAATTCAGACTGGCATCCCTTTCTGCTGTATTCTAGCTGTAGCCTTTTAGTGGTTTTTCTGCCTCCAGCCTTGAACCCTGCTCCAATCTGCTCTCCACACACTAGCTGGAGAGACTTTTCTAAATCACACTGCTCAGAGATAACCCCTTGCATGGTCGAAAGAAACCTTCTGCCTTGGTCCCTATGAATTTTCCTCCTGCCCTTGCTCTACAGCCCATCTTCCGCTGGCTCCGCAGTCATGCTGAACTGGCTGTTCCCCAGCCGGGCCTGCCCTTGTTGTCCGTGCGCTGCTGTACAGCTGCCAGCTTCTCTGCCTGGGTTGCTCCTGTTCTTTTGCCTCTGTTCTGATTCCTCATGGCATGATTAGCTCTTACTCTTCCAGAACTGAACTTTCACTTACTGAGATTCTACTATGTATCAGTCTCATTCCATTAGGTATTATTGTCAAACTCTTAACACTGTAATCTTAAATTTGAGAACATCACTAAGGACTCAATTTTAGTTCATTTGAAAAACCAGAAGCATTTCTGTCTAGCTTATGTTTGTTGGTTTTTCTTCTTTGCTCAATCTCATTCATCATCATAATAGCAAACATCCAAAGAGCTCCCATTAAAAAGGAGTATGTTGATAAAAAGACAGATTCCTTTGTTTGTGCTGATATGTGTATGTAGAGGGGTGGAACTTGTTACAGATTCATTTTAAACGTGTTTAAAGACTAATTTTTAAACACGAGCTGAGCTGCCACTTCTGTATGTCTCCCTTGGGTGCTGTGTTTGAGTGGTCCAGCTGTAGAAGTGAGTAAATGGGCTGGATTAAAGCCTCATAGGTGTGGGCGGACTTTCGTACTGCATAGTTGTCCTTAAGTAGTTTGGTATATGCTTTGAAGATTTTTATGTGTTCACCTTCCAATCTGGGAAGTTCTGCCAACAACAAAATTTTACTTCTGCAGATGCGAGTACCTGACTGTTGCCTAGGCTTCTCCACCACACTCTTTGAGAGCATGAGAGGAGGAACAGGAAGGACCTTAACACTGGGTGGCATCATGTGGCAGGGATTTGCCACTCTGTTTTTTCCCTTTTTTTCCTCCAGATGTGCGCCCTTCCCTATTTTTTCCCTTTATTGATGAATAATCAATAAAGACTTTGTGACAGGCATTGTTACTATTTTTAAAATTTTTAATGGGCCTACTTACATTTAAAGTAGTTGGACAAGGTATGTAAATTACTATCGCTCAAAGTGGTTATATGAAATAAGTAGGACTGCATAACACTCCATTGCATGTGTGTATATATACATATATATACACAACATCTTCTTTATCCATTTATTCATCTACCGATGGACATTTAGGTGGCTTCCAAGTCTTGGCTGTTGTAAGTAATGCTGCAGTAAACATGAGGGTGCAGATATCTTTCAAGAAAGAATTTCGTTTTCTTTGGGTATATACCCAGAAGGGGGACAAAGAAGGAAAGAAATCCTGTCATTTGCAACAACATGGGTGGACCTTGAAGGCATTATGCTAAGTGAAATAAGTCAGACAGAGAAAGACAAATGTCATATGATCTCACTGATATGGAATCTAAAAATACCAAACTTAGAGAAACAGGGAATACATTGGTCATTGCCAGAGGTGGGGAGTAGGGGTGGATGAAATGGGTGAAGGTAGTCAAAAGGTGCCAACTTGCAGTTTTAAAATAAATAAGTTCTGGGGATGTAATACACAGCATGGTGACTGCACATATATGTGAAAGTTGCTAAGTGAGTAGATCTTAAAAGTTTTCTCACCACAAGGAAAAATATTTTAACTGTGAAATGATGGATGTGAACCAAACAGTGTGGTGATGATTTTGCAATATATACATACATCAAGTCATTACATTGTACACCTTAAAGTAATACAGTGTTATATGTCAATTATATCTTAATAAAATTTGGATTGGGGGGAGGAAAGTAGTTATGTCTACATAACCATGTTTTAAGCATAAATGAATTATCTACGAATTTTCATTAAAATGTGTCGTGTGACCAAGACCTTTGGGAACATCCTTCTGTCCAGCACAGCAGTGTCTTAAAGATCCCCGTTATTAGGGACCTGCTCTGGATTTCCTGTCTGCTAGTGAGTTAAATGAGGACCAGGTATATAGGCAGTCAAGGAATTAGCCTTAAAAAGATCTGATATGGAAAATTATTTTTCTCACTGAATAACTAATTATTTTCTAGTAGAATATTGGCAAATAAAGTTAAGAGATGGGGAATATACTTTGTAGGACCCAGAAACATAATATTAATATATCAGCACCTTGACTATTCCTGAATGAAACTTAGAATTCTGTTGTAATAACATGTTGAAAATTTTTCCAAGTTAATACAGAATTATTCCCCACTAGTTTGCCTTTTCCTTTGTGTGGTGAAAAACACATAAATTTACCGTCTTCACAATTTTAAGCAGCCACAGGCTTATGCACAGTGTTGTGTAGCAGCGCTCCAGCATCTTTTCATCTTGCGTGACTAAACCTGTACCACTGCGCAGCCTGCCCCCTTCCTCTTGCCCCCTCCTCCCAGCCAATGGCCACCACCGTTCTAATGACTGTTTCTGTGAGTGTGATTACCTTAGATTTCTCATATAATGAGTATTGGTCCTTTTGTGACTGGCCTGTTTCACTCAGCAATGTCTTCACGGTTCATCTATGTTATCATATAGGACAGTATTTACTTCTTTTTTTTTTAAGGCTGCATATATTTTCTTTATCCACCCATCCATCCATCAGGCTGGTTGTTCCTGTATCTTGACTAGAGTGGCTGATGCTGCAATCAACATGCGTGTGCAAATGCCTTTTCAAGATCCTGTTTTCAGTTCTCTTGGATATGTACACAGAAGTGGAATTGCCGGATCCTGTAGTACTTCTATTTCTAATTTTTTGAGGACCCTCCATGCTGTTTACTATAGCAGTGATACCATTTTACAGTCACAGTAGGCCTGCACAAGGGTTCTGATTTCTTCGTATCCTCACCAATGCTTGTTATTTTTTTTCAGTAGTGTCTGTCCTAACAAATATGAAGTCGATATATTATGTCACTGTGGTTTTTATTTTCTCTGATAATTAGTGATGTTGAGCATCTTTTCATATGTTTGTTGGCCATTTCTATGTATTCTTTGGAAAAATAACTATTCAGGTCCTTTGCCCATTTTCTAGTTGGGCAGTTTTTGTTGTTATTGAATTGTAGGATTTCTTACATATTGGGATATTAGCTCCTGATCTGACATATGGTGAATATTTTCCCTATTCCATAGGATACCTCCATTAGGTTGCCTTTAAACCCTAGGACTGGCTGCTTGTTTCACAGACTTAACATAACTTAGATTCTGGTAATTCATACCAAACCCTGTTTTCGCTCTGATTCTTAGTAATTCCTGACTCTAGGTTAAATTGTGACTGCTCTCCCCTCCCATACTGTCTGAGCTCTATTTACTGATCAACCTTTATTTCCCTTCCCTGTGATCTCTTCCTTCCTAATGCTTTAGCATGTGGTAATTTTAAAATACAGGTATAAATTTGGTAGAAAACCAGGAAAAAATGATAATCTCTTCATTAATCTTAAATGTGAAAATGTGAATCAGAGATTAAAGTCAGGGTTATGTTAAAACTTTCAAATGTGAAAATACTGCTTTTAGAGGAACACAGACAGCAGGTTATTTTGAGCTGACACGGTTGGTGAGTGCGTGGGCTGATAGTTAAAGCTGTCATAGATATGTTTGTGTGTCCCAAAGCCCTGTGCTCTTGTTGGCCTGCTAATCAAACTGGAAACAGTAATTTAATTTGAAAATGTCACATGATTCTTATTGAGTGAACCAAAAAATTTCATGTTTACTAAAATAGAGATAAAATAAGTATTTGAATGTTCTGATTGGCCAACCATAATGTAGAGTTTATTCCCTAGCAAATAATGAAAGATCGGTGGATGAATGTTGGTCATGAGGAAGCAGAGCTAAAGCCGTACAGTGAGCCTGAGCCAGACTTCAATGATGCGAAAAGAATAGGTAAGATTTCAACTGTTTTGAGATGTACTCTCCGTAGGCTATAAGAGCCATGTAGTGTACCAATATATTGTTTAAAAAATACAGATAGGAAGCAATTTTCAGTTGAAAAATACTTTCATCATCTTTTCTTTCCCTCAGTATACACTAAACATTCAAATTTCAAGTTCCTTAATTTGTTCTCATGCATATTATAATCTATTTCAATTGTTGGTAACAATAATAGGAAAATTAAAATAATTTAGATAAACCCCATTCTTTTCTTTCAGCAATCCCTAACAGGAGGAATGACTGATTTAAGTGTCAGCACTGATCAGACTGATAAGTACCAGAAAACATAGCATATATTTTAACCAAAAATGAAGAGGCACTGAGCTAAAGGGATGAACCCTCTGGCTTGCCCCGTCTGTCTCCCACGCATCCACAGGGCGCATCCTCCTGTCCCCAGCCAGCACTCTGCTGCCAGCCTGTTCTCTTCATTTTTCTCCATTACCAGAGCTATTGGAAACTCACAACTGAGTCATCTCAGCTGTGCTCCTGTCCGGCTTGAGGGCAGAGTACCAAGGGAGGATTGTTCTAGGGTGTTAGGAATCTGATCCCAACTATAACTATGGGTTTCAGGCATTCCAAAGAAGAATCAACCTGCCTTTAGAGCAGAAAGCAGAAATTGTTAGATGAGAGAAACCATTCCATGAATATATGGAGCTGAGTGTTGTTGTAAGAGATAAAGAGAGAAGGGATTTTGTATGTATCACAGGTAGACATATGCTGAGCCTCTGGCTGGACAAGGGAACTCGGCTCAGGAATGTGCCAGGTGATGAGAGATGGAGAGGGCCCATGAACATATACCCCATGGTGTGGATAATTTCTGCATGAAAAATTGTGAATCTGTGGTATCTGTGAATATATGGTATCTGTATGTTGATCCATTGAATTCAAATAATTCTTTTATAATTAACATTATACTTTAAAATTTCAAAACTTAGTTTTCATATCTAACATTGGCAAACTTGCCAATTTTTGTTGGTGTATTTGCTAAAATAAGCCCATTTTCAGAAAATTTGTGTGTTGCTTTTTTCTAATTTCTAGACATCATGGTCACCATGGGCTTTGCACGAGATGAGATAAATGATGCCTTAATAAACCAGAAATACGATGAGGTTATGGCTACTTACATTCTTCTAGGTAGAAAGCCACCTGAAGTAAGTTTTCCATCTTTTTAAATTCTTGAGTTAAGTGATAGCTAAGTGTGAGATACAACATTAGCAAATATATCCTATGTGGTATCAAAGATAATATAAAGACCCTACCATTCTTATGTATTAGAATTCAAAACTCAGGATGCTAAGTTATGAGCTGAACTCATTTCTTCCTATCAGGAGACCTTCTGTGAAAGAGCAGGCCTGGCACCTTGCTTAGCTCTAAGAGGTGCCATTCACAATCCGGGATGACACCTCCCAGAGTTATACACGCAAATACAACGGCCCTGCCTGCGGTACTGTGGCTAGTCTGGGTGTGCAGAAGAGACAGTGACTCAAACAAGAGCAAGTGACAGCATTTAAAAGAAAATGCATGTCTTAAATTCTTAAATGATTTATATACGCAAGAACCCAGAAAATGGTTGGTTGGTGATATTTTGCCTTGTAGAACGTCAAGTGACTTTGATACATTCAACTGGGAAATCTCCAAGCCAGAAGAGATATATAATGAAATAGATTCAGATAATAACTGTATACAAATGGTGATTAAACCATAACAGCAAGTAATCATTTGGGACAGCAGGTATACAGGCAAAATTCTGAGTCAGTTTATGAGAGCATTGACAGTTTGTTGAAAATCTGTAAGCGGCATTTTTTATAGAATGGGCTGAAATCATTTCTAATTAGATAGTAACTATTAGTGAAGCAGTATGTTCAGCTGACATGTATTGAACCTACTCTGCACCAGAAACTATGCTATGTATTGTGACTAAAAGAAGAGAAAGTCTCTGCTCTCAAGGCTCCCACAGTCTAGAGGGGAGATGAGCAGTCAACAGTGTGATACATGCTCTGATTAGGGCTATGCACTAGATACCCTGGGACATACAAGAGGACAGGTACCTACAACAGGCCAAGACATATCAGAGGTAGAATTAAGAGTCCTTGGTAACCTTGGAAATGAGGGAAAAGAGACCCTCAGGTTTCTAGCATAGGTGACTGGTTTTGTAAGATATATTGGCCACAAGAGGAAAAAAGTGGATTTCAGGGGGAAGATGGGAAGGTCGTTCAATTTGGGGCAGTTGAATTTGAGATTCCAGTTGGATGGAGCTGTCCAGTAGACATCTGGCCAAAAAGATGTGGATCTGGAGGGAGCAATTTGAGTAACAGTGATAGATTTGGAAGTATTCAATCGAGGATTACATAGTAACATGCCAGGAACTATTCTAAGGACTGTACATGTATTAATTCATCTAATCCTCTCAACAACACGATAGTGGGTACTAATATTATAATGGAGTAGAGGAGTTTCAGTAGGGACACTACTAGCTGGAGAAGAGACCAAGGCAAGAGAATTTTAAGTAGTGGGAAATAGTCGAAATAGTTATTTCTAAAGTCTTACACTGTTTCTACTTAGATTTTAGATTTCACTCCTGAGATCCTTAATTTTCTATTTATTTAAATATAAAGGAAGCACTGATTTTACAATCATACAACCCAGCCCATGCATAAATTAAAATGAACTTTGAATTGTATTGTATACAAACTAATGACACTACTGGAAGAAGTAAGAGCCTGAACCCTGGAGCCGGGTTCCCTGGCACTGAGTCCCTGCTCCAGCCCAGCCACTAACTATGCGGCTTAGGCAATTTACTCAATTTCCCTGTGCCTCAGTTTCCTGCTTTATAAAATCCGGATAATAATAGTACTAACCTCTTAGGGTCATTAAGAGGGTTAAATGAATTAGAACTTCTAAGTCCTTAGAATGGTTCCTCACACGTTACTGTGTGTTCTGATAGCTATTAACTATCATCGTTTTTCATCATCAGTATTACTGTACTGTTTGTCATTAGTATCTTTATGTATGAATTTAGATTTCACATTGGGGTGCCAGTGGGTCAATCAGAAGTGTGCTGGCCACAAACGGCTTTTGTGTCACAGAGAGAGGGGTAGTGTATCGACCCCCCATTCACCAGGCTTAGTTTAAGTAGATGCAGTTCCCTCATCAGAGCCAGTAAATCACATTTTGTTCTGTAAATGTAGTAGAGAAAACAAAACAAAAAATATGTGTCTGGCATCTTAATGAAAACTTACAGATTTTATCCTCAGTTTGAATCCCAGCTCTGCCTGGGTTTAAATCCCACATGCCCCGCTTGATACTTCACCTCGGTTTTTCCATCTATTAAGTGCAGGGTCATAAAGCATAGGTTTGTCGTGATTATTAAACAGAGTAACACATATAAACAGCTTAGCACAGCACCTAGTACTTAGTAGCCATTCAAAAATTGGTAGCTGTTATTTGGGGTTTTGACAAAATTAAATCTCCAAAGCCATTTGTACAATGTACCAGAACTTAACATGTACTCAGGGGAACACATTAGATCCAGGTCCCTCCTTCTTGTCTGCCAACTTGTAGTTCTGTATCCAAATTTTTGAAAAATGTTTCAGTTCTGAATACTTTTGTAAGGCTTTGAAGAGACAAGAAACTCAAGAGTGCATATTGTTCACATAAGCATTTTTTGTCTTAAAATCCTGGTGGTCTTTCTTCTTCTTACAGTTTGAAGGCGGTGAGTCATTATCCAGTGGAAACTTGTGTCAGAGGTCACGGCCCAGTAGTGACCTAAACAACAGCACTCTTCAGTCCCCTGCTCACCTGAAGGTCCAGCGAAGCATCTCGGCAAATCAGAAGCAGCGGCGTTTTAGTGACCATGGTGGGGGAAAAGTCAAATAAGTGAAAAAACAGACAGATTCTGCACACACTTGTATTACGCATTGTACACTCATATCTTTATGTGCTTGTGTCATCCCAGTTATCACCGATTTATATCGCTGAATGATTAAATAGAATTCCTCTTTCAGGGACTGACTGAATTTTTGCAATCAAATAGTTTTAGTTCAGAGTGTAAGGTACTCAAGTGAAGATATTTTTACTGCAGACTTTTTGTTCGTGAGAAGAAAATACGTCCATTGTTTTTCAGCAGCTAATTTTTTTTTTTCTAATAGCTGGTCCATCCATTCCCCCTGCCGTGTCATATACCAAAAGGCCTCAGGCTAACAGTGTGGAAAGTGAACAGAAAGAGGAATGGGACAAAGACGTAGCTCGGAAACTTGGCAGCACAATGGTCGGATCAAAAACTGAGATGACTGCAAGCCCTCTTGTAGGGCCAGAAAGGAAAAAATCTTCAGCGATTCCAAGCGTGAGTCAATATTCTGGCATACTGAAATTTGTTGTAGTTATTTGCTGTCAGAATTTTTGTACAGTCCTTGAAATCTCTTATCTTTTTTTAAAAAATGTTTCAAAATTTTAAAGTGAATCATACATTTAAAGAACACGCAAAGGAGGCCATTCTTCTCGTAAGTATAATTTTAGAACAAAAAATAGTCTCCCCTTTCCAATTCAAAATTACTTTCCCCTCTCAACTTCCTATATTGCTAGTGCTAATCATTTGGTGTGAATTCTTTCATAGATTTTCCTTTGTTGAAAAAAAGAAATTAACATATATATATACACACAGAATTGTTTTATTTTTTACAAAGATGAGATCATATCTACTGTGGTTTAACTTTTCTCATAAAAATATTATGGGGTCTTTCGGGACCTGTAGAAAACCTTGGTATGCTACAGTCTTTTTAATAGCTGCACATTATTTCATCTGTATTAATAGATATATCATATTTATTCAACTATTGTGTTCATGGGATGTTCAGTTTTCAATTTTCTAGAGTGTACATCCCTGTGCATTTATGTTATTACTGTATTTCTGTTAAATACATTCTCAAAACTTTGGTTCTAGGTGAAACGCTTTATTTTATTTTTTTATTAAGGTATCATTGATATATAATCTTATGAAGGTTTCACATGAGCAACATTGTGGTTACTACATTCACTCATATTACCAAGTCTCCCACACGCATCCCATTGCTGTCACTGTCCATCAGCGTAGTAAGGTGCTATTGGGTCACTACTTGTCTTCCTGTGCAATACTGCCTTCCCTTACATTATGTGTGCTAATCATAACACCCATTAATCCCCTTTTATCCATCCCGACCCATTACCACACTCCCTTACCCTTTGGTAACTGCTAGTTCCTTCGTGGAGTCTGTGAGTCTGCTGCTGTTTTGTTCCTTCAGTTTTGCTTTGTTGTTATACTCCACAAATGAGTGAAATCATTTGGTATGTGTCTTTCTCCTCTTGGCTTATTTCACTGAGCATAATACCCTAAAGCTCCATCTATGTTGTTGCAAATGGTAGGATTTGTTTTCTTCTTATGGCTGAATAATATTCCATGTGTATATGTACCACATCTCCTTTATCCATTCATCTGTTGATGGACACTTAGGTTGCTTCCATTTCTTGGCTACTTTAAATAGTGCTTGATAAACAGGGCTGCATATGTCTGGTATCCTGTTTTCTTCAGGTAAATTCCTAGGAGTGGATTTCCTGGGTAAAATGGTATTTCTATTTTTAGTTTTTTGAGGAACCTCTATATTGCTTTCCACAGTGGCTGAACTAATTTACATTCCCATCAACAGTGTAGAAGGTTCCCCTTTCTCCACATCCTCACCAGCATTTGTTGTTCCTTGTCTTTTGGATGTTGGCCATCCTAACTGGTGTGAGGTGATATCTCACTGTGGTTTTAATTTGAATTTCCCTGATAATTAGTGATGTGAAGTATCTTTTCAATTGCCTGTTGGCCATCTGAATTTCTTCTTTGGAAAACTGTTCAGATCCTCTGCCCATTTTTTAATTGGGTTATTTGCTTTTTGGGTGTTGAGGCTTGTGAGTTCTTTATATTTTTTGAATGTTAACCCCTTATCAGATATGTCATTTACAAATATATTCTCCCATACTGTAAGGTGCCTTTTTAATCCACTGATGGTGTCCTTTGCTGTAGAGAAGCTGTTAGTATGATGTAGTCCCACTTGTTTATCTTTGCTTTTGTTTCCCTTGCCCAAGCAGATGTGTTAAGGAAAATTGCTCATGTTTATTTACATTCAAGAGATTTTTACCTATGTTTTCTTCTAAGAGTTTTATGGTTTCACAACTTACAATCAGGTCTTTGATCCATTTTGAATTTACTTTTGTGTATGGAGTTAGACAATAATCCAGTTTCATTCTCTTACATGTAGCTGTCCAGTTTTTCCAACACCAGTTGTTGAAGAGGCTGTCATTTCCCCATTGTATAGCCATAGCTCCTTTATCATATATTAGTTGGCCATATATGTGTGGATTTATATCTGGGCTCTCTATTCTGTTCCATTTATCTATGGGTATGTTCTTGTGCCAGTACCAAATAGTTTTGATTACTGTGGCTTTGTAGTAGAGCTTGAAATTGGGGGGTGTAATCCCCCCAGCTTTATTCTTCCTTCTCAGGATTGCTTTGGCTATTCAGGGTCTTTTGTGGTTCCATGTGAATTTTAGAACTACATGTTCTAGTTTGTTGAAGAATGTTTTGATAGGGATTGCAATGAATCTGTAGATTGCTTTAGGCAGGATGGCCATTTTGAGAATATTAATTCTTCCTATCCATGAGCATGGGATATATTTCCATTTACTGGTGTCTTCTTTAATTTCTCTCACAAGTGTCTTGTAGTTTTCAGGCTATAAATATTTCACCTCCTTGGTTAGGTTTATTCCTAGGTATTTTATTGTTTCTGATGTAATTGTGAATGGAATTGTTTTCCTAATTTCTCTTTCTGCTAGTTCATTGTTAGTATACAGGAATGCAACAGATTTCTGTGTACTAAATTTGTATCCTGCAACTTTGCTGAATTCAATTATTAGTTCTAGTAGTTTTGGAGTGGATCCTTTAGGGTTTTGTATGTACAATATCATGTCATCTACAAACAGTGACAATTTAACTTTTTTCCTAACCAATCTGGATGCCTTTTATTTCTTTGTGTTGTCTGATTGCCATGTCTAGGACCTCCAATACTATGTTGAATAAAAGTGGGGAGAGTGGGCATCCTTGTTTTGTTCCTGATATTAGAGGAAAAGCTTTTAGCTTTTTGCTTTAAAGTATAATGTTGGCTGTGGGTTTGTAGTATATGGCCTTTATTATGTTGAGGTACTTGCCCTCTATACCCATTTTGTTGAGAGTTTTTATTATGAATGGATGTTGAATTTTGTCAAATGCTTTTTCGGCATCTATTGAGATGATCATGTGATTTTTGTCCTTTTTGTGGATGTGGTGGATGATGTTGATAGATTTTTGAAAACTATACCATCCTTGGCTCCCTCCAATAAATCCCACTTGATCATATGGATGATCTTTTTTATGTATTTTTGGTAGATTCATTTCAAGAATGAGTTTGGAAGTATTCCCTCCTATTCTACTTTTTGGAAAACTTTAAGGAGGATGGGTATTAGATCTTCTCTAAACGTTTGATAAAATTCAGCGGTGAAGCCATCTGGTATGTGAGTTTTGTTCTTAGGTAGTTTTTTGATTACCAGTTCAATTTCATTGCTGGTAATTGGTCTGTTCAGATTTTTTGTTTCTTCCTGAGTCAGTCTTAGAAAGTTGTATTTTTCTAGAAAGTTTTCCATTTCTTTTAGGCTTTCCACTTTGTTAGCATATAATTTTTCATAGTATTCTCTAATAATTCTTTGTATTTCTGTGGTGTCTATAGTGATGGATCCTTTCTCATTTCTAATTCTGTTTTTGTGCGTAGACTCTTTTTCTTGGTAAGTCTGGATAGGGGCTTATCTACTTTGTTTATTTTATTGAAGACCTAGCTCCTGCTTTCATTGATTCTTTTATTGTTTTATTCTTCTCAGTTTTATTTATTTCTGCTCTGATCTTTATTATGTCCCTACTTCTACTGACTTTGGGCCTCATTTGTTCTTCTTTTTCTAGTTTCATTAATTGTGAGTTTAGACTTCATTTGGGATTGTTCTTCTTTCCTGAGGTAGGCCTGTATTGCTATATACTTTCCTCTTATAACTGCCTTTGCTGCATCCACAGATTTTGTGGTGTTGAGTTATTGTTGTCATTTGTTTCTATATATTGCTTGATCTCTGTTTTTATTTGGTTATTGATCCATTACTTAGGAGCATGTTGTTAAGCCTCCATGTGTTTGTGGGGTTGTTTATTATCTTTGCACAATTTGTTTCTATTTTCATACCTTGTGGTCTGAGAAATTGGTTGGTACAATTTCAATCCTTCTGAATTCACTGCAGCTCTTTTTGTGGCCTACTATGTGATCTTTTCTGGAAAATGTTCCATGTGGACTTGAGAAGAATGTGTATCCTTTTGCTTTTGGGTGGAGAGTTCTGTAGATGTCTTTTAGGTCCAACTGTTCTAATGTGTTGGTCAATGCCTCTGTCTCCTTACTTATTTTCTGTTCTTTAGAGTGAGTGGTTTGTTGAAAGCTCCTAGAAAGAATGCATTGCATTCTATTTCCTCCTTTAATTCTGTTAGTTATTTATTTCACATAAGTAGGTGCTCCTACATTGGGTGCATAGATATTTATAATTGTTATATTCTCTTGTTGGACTGACCCCTTTATCATTATGTAATGTCCTTCTTTGTCCTTGTTATTTTCTTTGTTTTGAAGTCAATTTTGTCTGATACAAGTATTGCAGCTCCTGCTTTTTTTCTCCCTGTTATTTGCATGAAATATCTTTTTCCATCCCTTCACTTTTAGTCTGTGTACATCTTAGAGTTTGAAGTGAGTCTTGTAAGTAGCATATAGAGGGTTCTTGCTTTTTTATTAATTCTGTAACTCTGTGTCTTTTGATTGGTGCATTCAATCCATTTACATTTAGGGTGATTATCAATAGATACGTACTTACTGCCATTGCAGGCTTTAGATTCATGGTTACCAAAGGTTCAAGGGCAGCTTCTTTACTATCTAACAGTCTAACTTAACTCACTTATTACACTATTTCAAACATAATATAAAGATTCTTTTTTTTTTCTCCTTTTTCTTCCTCCTCCACCCTTTATCTGTTAGGTGTCATATTGTGTACTCTTTGTGTATCCCTTTACTAACTTTGTGGGTAGCTGATTTAGTTTTGCATTTGCTTAGTAATTAATTGTTTACTTTCTTTACTGTGGTTTTATTTTCTCTGATGACATCTGTTTAGCCTTAGGAGCACTTCCATCTAGAGCAGTCCCTCCAAAATACACTGTAGAGACAGTTTGTGGGAGGTAAATTCCCTCAACTTTTGCTTATGTTTAATCCCTGCCTCAAATTTAAATGATAATCTTGCCAGGTAGAGTATTCTTGGTTTGAGGCCCTTCTGTTTCATTCTCTAAAATATATCATGCCACTCCTTTCTGGCCTGTAAGGTTTCTGTTGAGAAGATGATAGCCTGATGGGTTTTCCTTTGTATGTGATCTTTTTTGTCTCTTTGGCCTGCTTTTAATACTCTGTCCTTGTCCTTGATTTTTACCATTTTAATTATTCTATGTCTTGTTGTTATCTTCCTTGGGTCCCTGGTGTTGGGAGATCTGTGCACCTCCATGGTCTGAGAGACTATTTCCTTCCCCAGGTTGGAGACGTTTTCAGCAATTATTTCCTCAAAGAGACTTTCTATCCTTTTTTCTCTCTTCTTCTTCTTCTGGTACCCCTATAATGTGAATATTCTTTTGTTTGAATTGGTTGCAGAGTTGTCTTATTGTTCTTTTATTCCTAAAGATCCCTTTTTCTCTCTGTGCCTCAGTTTCTTTGTATTCCTGTTCTCTAATTTCTATTCCATTTACCTTCTTCTCTACCTCTTCTAATCTGCTTTTCAATCCCTCCATTGTGCATTTCATTTTGGATACTGTAGTCTTCAGTTTCTGTCTCTTTCTTGAAGTCCTCCTTGAGATCTTGAATACTTTTTCTATAGCTCCATGAGCATGTTTATGATTTTTATTTTAAATCTTTACCAAGAAGATTGGTGATTTCAGTTTCATGGAGCCCTCTTTCTGGTGTTTGAGGAATTTTGGTTTGAACCAGTTTCTTTTGCCACTTCATATGGCTAATGAATAATATGGAATAATAACTTTGTGTAGGCAGCACCCTCTAGTGCACCTAGAGCATCAAATCTCATTGGTTATGCATGTGTCCTTGGAACAGGCACATTTAAATTTTTGGTAAACACTACCAGAGTAATTCTAATGGTTGGAATAATTTTGTCTTCACAAGTTCATCCATAACTGGATATTACCAATTAAATATTTTGCCCATCTAAGGGTCAAAAAACAAACAAAAAAGATATCCTTTTGTTTTTAATTTACATTTCCCTGACTACAGATGACTTTAAAGGTGTGGCCTGCAAAGCCTAAAATGTTTGCTGCCTGGCTCTTTGCAGAAAAAGTTTGCTGACCCCAAAAGCCAAATGCACAGCTTTAATCTCCTTTCTTTGAGGTAATGTCCCAGAAGGAACTTGAGCATTTAGAATCCAGGCTCTGTCATATTATAAAATATTTATTGAACAAATAAACATTTTTATCAGTGATTCTATTACTTGTCTCTAAAATGGAGTGTAGTGGAAAATATCTAATCCGTTCAAATGGCTTGGCATGGATTCTTACCTTCTGATGGAAAAAAGAAATAATACCCTTAATATATATAGATAACTTGGTGGTTTAATAGTGCTTTTTATAAAATCAGAACCTTTTTTTTAACCAATAGTTAAAGCTCTTGTGAGTATGATTCTATTGACAGTATTACTTAGCATAGTCTAGTATATTGACTTAATGGTGATATTGACAGATGCTGCTTAAAAATGGTCAGTTAATAGCTGTGGGGAGAATTTTGAGTTAAGTAGTTAAATAGATTAATGGTGGGCAAAATTAGTTGGTTACCTGAATCATCTGTTTTATTTTTTATCACCCACAACTATTAAAGACTATAAGTGAGAACTTAGGACTTTTTCTGCAATAATATTCAGGAAAAACAAATGTATTTTTCCCTTTAAGAAATCTTGCATGTAGAAGTTAATGGTAAACTCTTGGCTAGCCTAGAAAGTTGGAAACCAAGTTTTGAGTTTTTGAAGATACAAATATGTTAAGCTAGTTTTTTAATCAAAAAGACAATAAAACTTGTAAGTATGTTTTTCAGTATTACTTATGACATGTAGACAATATAAAATACAAAATTTTATGTCTTCTAAGAAAAGTATTAACCAACCCTTTTTTTAAGTAAGGAAAAGGAAGTATTACTTCTTTCAGGGAGACTCCCAAAGATGAAGAATGCTATAATAATTATAAAATATTTCACATAAAAATTATGGTATAATTCTATAAAATACAATCGCTTTAGTATAAAATAAGCCCAAAGGAGTTGTGTATAGGATTTCTTTCTTGTGAAATGCATAAAAATTTATATATCTACTAAAGAGAAGTTGCCAATCTAGAAAAAGGTCTGCGAGGGTGTTTTTTACCTGGTCCCCAAGTTCTAAACTGAGAGAGCCTTACTAGCTTAGCAGTCACCAGAGCTTTGTAATTTGATCTAAGAAGGTCAATTCTAAAGGTTAATTTTGTAGACAAACTTATGCCACATGGAATCAGTGAGACTCCGTTTCTAGAACTTAACTTCTGGATGATCATTACCTGAGTTTCCCCAGGGAAATAGAATGTGGGGGAAAAACTGTAGGCTGATGGTGTACCTGAGTCATCAAAGGGGTGAGGCAGGGAGGCAGCACGTGAGGATTAGGAACCCAGAAGGTACAGTTTTAAAGAACAAATTGTTCTCCCCTCACTTTGAGAAGCAGAATAGTGATACTGAAAATAGCCAGAAACATTTGATGGGGAATTTGTTCACAAGTCTGCTAAAACAGTGAAAGCATCCCAATGAGCATTCTTATATTGCTGCATTTGGCGTCTCTTGAGTGATGTTGCAGTCATTTAGTAATCTTCTTGTAGTTTTAATACTTTTCTGGGTTTTTTTCCTTACTTTCTATTATAAATTTGTGGATCTTTTTCTCTAGACTTTTTAATCTCCAATTTCTCTAGGCAATTAAACCTCCTCAGTAGACAGTAAGAACAAACAGGAAATATTAAAAAATGAGGGATTTATTGGTTAAAAGAAAAGATCACATATGGGTATGGCTGTTTTAATGCTGACTGACATGGATAGATGCTAAGACTTGTTAGCTGGGAAAGCAGGTAGTGAAACAATGTGTTTCTAACCATAAAATACAGATTACATTTCTAGTTTTTTAAGAACTTTAATGCAAATTCATTTCCTAATAGATTTCTCCATAATCAAACCTGTTTTCTTTGCCTTCATTTAACATAGACAATATCTAACCTAAATAATGTTTTTAATAACTGAGCCTGTTTTGCTACCATACTTTTATAGTTTTTCATTTATCTTTTTTACATAACTGGTGACAATTCCTTCCACCTAGGAATCTGTGCTATTGAAAACTTTAAATTTTGTTCACAGTTCTGTTTATATGAGGCTTTTTTTTTGCCTCTCCAAACTTAATTTAAGGATATCTATTAACTTTGCAGCCCTCATGAATAAATACATTTTAAGCTAATTGTTTTAAAGAAGAATGAAAGCTGAACTAACCAAAAATACAGAAAGTTTTTCTATTTGAGTAAGGATTAAACAGAAAGATATTTTATTCCTTCTGAAAATTAATTCCTCTGTACTTTAGTACTAGTCAAGATATAGGTAGGCACAACTAGAGTGGTTATAGATCAGTGGCTGAGCGCTCAGTAAGAAGAGGCTTTCTCATGGGAAGGGGATTCCATCCTTTGTGCTTATTCTTTTCTTTTCTCCAGAGCTTCTCAGACTTGGCTTGCCTCCTGGCTAAAACCTGAAACGAGGGCATATTCTCAGAGCGGCACTTCATACTGCTGGTGGCCTCAGCTGGGCATGCCTTTGAACCTGGAGCTTCAGTCTCCTTAACATTACCATTGGTTCTGGGGGTTTCCCAAGCAGGGAAGAATGGCAAGCCATAGGCTTCTAGTGGGCCCACCATCTTCACTGCCTGTTTGGGATGGTATTTAGCGTGGCATTATCTCTCGCTCCTAGCCCTATAAAGCTGCCTGTAGCACTCCCCTGCCTCTCTCCCTACCACCAGCTTACAAAGGAGAAAATGAAAGCCCTGCTTTCTTGTTGCTTCCAAACAACTGCCTGCTGCTGTTGCAGGCAGTGAGCTGGTTATGCTTTGCCTTTTCCTCCTACAGTTGGAGAGAGAGCTTGCTAATGTAAGATTCTGATAAATTAAAATTCTACCATGGATTATTATCAAAGTCATTTGCAGCTTAAATTCCTTTCTTTGACCTTCCACAGCTATAGTTAGAATTTTAAAATGACTTTTCTTTTCCTTCTTAAAGAACAATGTATATCCTGGAGGTAGCATGGCAAGAAGGAACACCTATGTCTGTGAAAGGACCACAGATCGATACACAGCACTGCAGAATGGAAAAGACAGCAGGTAAATGGCGTAGTGCCAAGTGATACAGCCTTTGTCGTTGTTCAACATTAGTGCTTTTGCCCAGAGTCATGTAGCTGAGATGGTCAAGAAGAAAGGAAATACAAAATAGTAAGACTGCAACCAGCCATTCTTATGAGGCATCTCCCTTCTGTACCAGAATGGAAGGATGAGAAAATATTTAGGGAAAACGAGAAGTAAATCTCTTAACCTGAAAATCTTAAATACAATCTAATAGTAAGTATTCCCCTGTAACAAAGCAGATCTTACCATCCTAACCTTGTGTTTATAATTTGAATCTTCCTCTCCGTATACCTGCTGCTTCCTCCTCACCTCCCACCCTCTCCTCTCCCCTTCACATCAAGTCATTACTGTATCCACATAATGAAAGCCTTATTTTTCCTTCCTCTACAGAAATGTGGCCATCTCAGCTAGTCACTGAAACTGTACAATCTCAGTGTATTTTATTTTAAATAATAAGTCATATTATTTTTATTAGTCTTTAAAATTTTTAACTTCTTTTCATCATGGGTTGTAAAGACTCTTCATTGATACAGGACAACATAAAATTCTGTTCTTCGTTCCATCCATAGTCATTTCAATAGACTGAACAGACCATTCTTCATTTGCTTCCTCGCGATTAACAGACATGTAAAGCATGTGTTATTATGAGGCGTAGAAAGGTAAATGTCTCTTCCTTAGACATGAGATCCATTGGGCTTGGGAAAAGTTGGGAATTGATTTCCAATTTATTATTCCTTCTATACTAAGTCCTAATCTGCAGCTCGTTTAACCTAAAACAGCTCACCTACTGATTAATGATACGATCTAAAAGTGTTCTGATGATGTTTCCAGAGAGAGTGTTTCTGCTGTAGTTATGGGTTCTTCCTGCATAATGAACAGAGAACCACAGCAGCGCATCACAGCAAACTGATTTTTGGAAAGTGAAAAATCTCCAGTCGTAACTGTTTTAGCCCTAAAAATAATTCACACCTTCACAGATTCACATACACAGAGCAAGTGTGTGTGAGAGTTTTTCCATGGAAGATGGTGGTAAATTCACCCTACATTTTTAACAAGAATTTGTTTTATTACTCACTAACACCACTAATGTTAACTATTAACAGTCATGAAAACTGAATTAGTTATTAGTCAATTTAGATTTTTAAAAATCTTGTTCTTAAATTTTAGTAAACTGCAACTTTTCTTCTTTTTTCCATTTCCATGGTTGTCTTTTCGACTATTTTCTGTCGAAAGCCTTATGGAGATGTCCGCGAGTAGCCTGTCTTCTGCAGGCCCTGCTGTGGCCTCTGCTGTCCCCTCAGCACGACCCCGCCACCAGAAGTCCATGTCTGCTTCTGGCCATCCTGTTAAAGTCACACTGCCAACCATTAAAGACAGCTCAGAAGCTTACCGGCCTGGGTAATGTGCTGGCTGCATTTCCGTCTGTTTCTTCAGAATTCTTAAAAATGTAGCACTGTATTAAACTCCATGATAGGCACCCTCACAGTAATAGCTTTCTGAAAAGATGAGTGATTGCAACAGAGGAAGAGTTGAATTTTAGACTTAACTACATCCCTAGCTGTTTTCAAAAATGTTGCTTGTAATTTAATTCATTTTCTAGAGGAATTTTCTTCAAGGATTTTAAAGTATTGCTTCCTATTATTATTTAGGTAAAGTGGGTTTTATGATTTAAAAACAAAAAAGTATGAGACTGGGGATCGAAACCTCTGGGTAATTGTCCTGGCTCCTGCCAGTTACTTGTACTTGATAAAACTGGCCTTTTAGTTTCCCGTCAGTGAAACAAGTGATCTCAAAGAGTCCATTCAGGTATAAAATTTTATGACTATTTTTCTAGTGTTTGTCTATGTCAGGATTTCTCAAACTCAGGAACATCTTTGATAGGTCTGCTAATCATATCAGTGGTGTAATTAGCATTTTGCTACACTGAGTTCTAAATTATAAATAGGACATGATTCTATTCAAATGCTTTTAGGTAAACAATAAAATTTGTGTTCTACTTTGCTGAATGGTTTAAGAGAATAGTAAAAAATGTGTGTGGTGCTTCTAGTTTGGGGCATACCTGATGCTAAAGAGTATTTACCTTTATATCTGTGTCAGTAATTTAATCTTCAGTAACAAATTTTTATAGAATGCATTTAGTTTCAAACTGAAATTGTATCCCTCTGTGATTACCCCATGCATCCTGTATCTAAGGTGAACAAATAAAATAGGCCTGAATAAAAGCAGCCAGAGCAATTTTTTTCTAGTTTTTAGCATGATGAAAGCTTTCTCTGTCCTTATTCTGAATAATATATCTTAATTTGTCCCAACAGTCCGACCCAGAGAGTGCCTGCTGCCTCCCCATCTGCTCACAGTATTAGTGCCTCCACTCCAGACCGAACCCGCTTTCCCCGGGGGAGTTCAAGCCGAAGCACTTTTCATGGTGAACAGCTTCGGGAACGTCGCAGCGCTGCTTACAACGGGCCACCTGCTTCACCTTCCCATGAAACAGGTGCCTTTGCACATGCCAGAAGGGGAACGTCAACTGGTATAATAAGCAAAATAACATCCAAATTTGTTCGCAGGTCAGTACCAGTGAGCATGGTGTTTTGTTTCCTCTAGGAATTATAAAAGAAACTTGTTTTTCTTTTCGTTAGTCTTTATAGTGATTTTCCAAAATGGTGTCAAGACATCTCATTAGGGCTGCTCTTTTACAGAAATTTGAAAGAAAAATAAGGAAGACCAGAAAGTCTTTTGCCTTGAGAGAGAAAGATAATGGAAAAAGGGGGAATTAAAAATTCTATAAAATAGAGTGGAAAGAGCAGAAGTTGACATTAAAAACGTGTTTTAACAAAAAGATTATCCCCTATGTAAAAGACTCGATTTATAAAATGAAATTGAATATGTTTCTATGTAGCCTTCAAAGAATATTTCTTATCTTAAAAATACTTTTAAATTGCCCACTAATCCTGTAGTTTACCTTTTTCTCTCATAAAAATCCTATGTACTGCAGTCCCATAGATTACTCATCTAATTTAACATCATAAAATATTACCATCAAAACTCAGTAAATACAAAATGAATACAAATATAGTAAACTGATAAATAGTAAAAATGTACTGATTTCTAAAAGTAAGCATAAGTATACAGTACAAATTGATTATACAAGTTGCCAAACACAACACAAGTTGATATAATTTGATCTGTTATTAGGTCCTAGAAAAGCCTGCTAATGTCCTGTAGGTACAAAGCAGTGTGCAGGTGCTGCACAGAATGCAAAGACGAATGAGACCACATCTGTGCCCTCCAGATTCATCCACTCCTGACAGAAGCACTCACGTGACCAGCCAGCCATGCTATCAGACAGAATGTGTGCTGACAGAGGTGCAGGGAGCACGCCAGGGGAGCCCCGAGGAAGGCACAGCCTTCCCGGTCTTGGGAGGAGGCTAAAGCTCCCTGTCATGTAGTTGTTTGAGCAGATAAGTTATGAGTAAGAAATGATTACACCTGCTTTAAAAAAAATTAAATACTTAGTTTTTAATGTTATTCATGTGCCCAGGATTCAGAGTGGGTGTGGAATAGAGGAGCAGAAGCTTTAGTCTCTTGCCTTTTTATGGCACTATTTATGGACTGAGTTCATGGATTACTTTGCCCAGGGTAACACAGCTGAATTTAAAACTTTAAATACTCAAATCCAGCATCAATTTCTAATCATCTCAAATGATGATTTGTACCAACTGGGCAATTGCTATGCAGCATGACAGCTTGAATAGACTAAGACTGAAAAGCTCACAACAGAGCAGCATGAACTTAGGCAGTATTGCTGGTTGACCATCTGCAGGGTATGTAAGTTAGGCCACCAGTAGTTTCTGCTGTTGGAACTGGGCTATTTAAAGCCATTTTTAAAATGTGATACTTTCTCATGGTTGAGCCAGGGTTAATTTTAAAGTGAAGGAAAATAAGGTAGTGTTTAGTGCTTGATTGCTGATTGTACACTAAGCACTGCACAAAATAATCCTCTTTGTAGTAAAAATATAGATTCTAGAGAGAACATAATAAAAAGCACTGGACAAGAAGTCAGGACAGGATGTGCAAGCAACAAAGTGCCATAGAGGCAGTCTGCTGGGAGTTTAGGTTGAAGGTCATATAGTCATTTAACAAGTATGTAGACCTACTATGTGCTAGACCCTCTATTAGGTGCTATTGATACAGCACTCTATATGGTGAGACTATACATGGCCCCTTCCTTTCTGTAAGCAACTTACTATTTTGCGACATTCCACACAGTTGAAACATCTTCCTCACTTGACTTCTGGTTTTCCTCCTAACTCAAAACTAACTATCCCTTCCCAGGCTCCTTTGCTGGTTCTTTTCAGGTCCCCTTGCCTTTCCCCCTGACCTCTAATTATCAGGCTGCCCCAGAGAGCCCAGTCCTGGGACACATTCTCCTCTCTGGATAGCCTCACTTTCTTGGTGATCTCACTCTGCCTCATGGCATTAAATTCCGCCTTATATTACCAACGCCCGAACTGGTATCTTTAGCCCAGATCTCTCCTTTTAACTACAGACTCATATATCCAATTGCCTACTCAGCCTCTCTGCTTGGATATATAATAGGCTCTCAAACAGAGTGTGTCCAGAATTCAAGTCCCTATCCTCTTCTGCAAACCTATCCTTCCCTCACTCTTCACCATTTTAGGAGTAACAAGGCCGTCCTTCCAGTTGCTCAGACTGTGAGCCTTGACTTATCCTTGACTCCCCCTGATCTCATACCACACATCAGTTCCGTTAGCAAATTGGGTTGCTCTGCCTTCACATTATTTCCAGAATTTAACTGCTTCCATTGCTCCCACCTCTGCCTCCATAATCTAAACCATTATTAATCTTCCACCTTCTAACAGGTCTCCTGGCTTCTGCCCTTGTCCTGTTCTCTTTTCAACAGTGTGAGGCTCACTTGCTTTAATTTTGCTTAGAATATAATTGAAAGGCCCCTAGTGGCCCCCAAGGCCCTGCATATTCTAGCCGCCCATCTGTTCTGACCTCATCTCCCACTCCCCCCTTGCTGGTTCCACGCTAGACACAGTAGGTGTCTGTCTGACTGCCCTGGAGTGCCCTAGGCACACCTGTTCAGGATTCTGGACTTGCTTTTCCTTCCGCCTGGAATCCTCTCCCCATACACCTCCTCCAGGTCTCTGCCGAAGCTCCTTCCTCAGCCCCCTCTTAAAACCCCAGCCTCTTCTTCCCCACACTCCCGTCCCGGATCTACTCTTCTCCGGAGCACCTAGCACATGTGGAATGGTGTACATGCTGCACTTGTTTGCTTATTGTTGCTTTTTGTCCATCTCCCCAACTAGAAGATGAGCTCCCCAAGAGCAGGGATTTCATTGTTTTCTTGCTTTGTTTTGTGCTGAATGGTGAGTACCTGCTATGACACATAATAGGGCATTCAGTAAACATTTATTGAATGAATAGATGAATAGTGTGGAAGACAATTATAAAAACAAAATTTTAGTAAATTCTGGGGTAAGTGCTCTGAGTGAAGCAGGTCCTGAAATGGAGAATAAGTTGGGAGAATCAGAGTGCTCAGAGCTGGCTTCTCAGGGGAGCTGGCATGTAAGCTTCTGCAGTTCCACCATGCACTCATTAAAGTTTGAACAATATCATTTAGTATAGGGCTTTTTTGAGTTGGGGGAGAAGGGAGGGAGGAGATTGTTTGCTCCCCTTTGTTAGCAGTTTGGCAGGGCTTTTTAATGTCTTATTTTTAACATATTTTCATTAACTCTGGATTTGGTTAGAGAAGAGAAAAAAATTCTCAGTTCTCCTCCAGGTCACTTGTCACCATGTGAACAGCTTTAGCTTTACAAGAATGTGTCCACTGCAGCACACAAGGTATTCCCTTATGCAGCATTTTGTAGCTTGAGACTGGGCTATAATACACCACAAATGACTTAGTACAGAAAGACCAGGAAAGCACTGGTTTCAGTACCAGGAAAGAACCTGCTGAGTTCTTCAGCAGCTGACAGACTGGAAAAGCCATTGATCTTTCTGCATTTGCGCATATTGAACTTTTTGGGAGGCTTGGAGATAAACTAGGGAATTTCCCAATGCCCAGGAGATACTGCAGCCTTATTATCTAATATTCTCAGCCCAGCTCTCAGCCCTTCCCACAAGTCTCTTCTTCTGTATCCACCATGGGTTCAAGCCCTGCCTTTCTCTCTGTTCCCTTTGCCTTCCCCTCTCCTCTGTGCCTAGAGCCTGGAGACATGGAGCCCACACACTGATAGCCCCGTGCGGCCAGCACCACAGCTGGGGGTACTCGTGGGGGGCTGACTCTTGAGTGCAGCTGGGGAGTCAAGACACCTCACAGACTTTGGGGCCAATGAAGCTGATGAGCCACTGAATGCTTAAAAAGATGAAAAAATTTTATTTGGAAAAAAGTAAAGAAATTTGGGTTGCTGAGCTTTAAGAGGGGAAGGATAAGAATAATTCAGAGTTAATCATCCATGTATTTGCAAATCATTATTATGAAAAAGAAGCCAGTTAGTAGTTCCCTTGATAGTAAGAAGGCTGTTCACTGAAATGACCACATGAGAAAGCCTTTTAATGGTCTTAGGAAAGAACTTCCCAGTTAGGGAGGGAGGATGTAGATGTACTGTTGAGAAGTCTAAAAAGCATTTGGAACCATTTGCTTCGGGTAGGTTCTATATAACTACTGTATAAACTGGAGATTATATCAAACCATACGATTTTTCAGAGCTAGAACATAACTCATTCTTACCTAGAAAATAACCAAATTAGTTCAATTGATTACATAATGCCAATCTATGTGATATTTGGCTTTTTTAAGTTGTAAGTGTTGGAGAGTCATGCTATGCCACAAATGCTGTCACAGCCAGCCATGCTTCCTATAGCCCCAGCTATCCCACTGTGGCTACGCACTCACTGAACAGGATTGTTCCGGTCAGTGTCCCCAGTGGCATCCAGGACAGCAGGAACAGGGTATGGGGAACAACGTGCTGAGGCGTCGCCGTTTCAACAATTACAGTGGGAGAAGTAGAGTCTAGGGAGTGTTTCATTCCTAATACCTGAAGTTCAGTGGCAGTGAAATACGTGCCTGCCAACAGTGATTTACAACACAGAGTATAAATAGGACAGAAAAGTCTAGTGAGATGGATGCCCCTTCCTAAGAAAGGAATCTCGTCTCAGCAGGAATCAATAGCATTACTATCTCTTACCCAACTGGTGGACTGCCCTTATATATCAGTACGTCTACATGTAGCTGAAATGTACATTTCAATGTTTTATTTTGATGTGCTATAATAAAAATAGATTTGTGTAGTAGGCATTTAATTTTTTATTATACTTTTCAATGGAAATGCCGATTATTAAAAATAGAAATTTAAGAAACTGCATTTGAATATGAGAATACACCCTACTATCCTTTTTGGTTCAGGTTGGAAAGTGGTTTTTACACAATATGTTGTTTGTCAAGAAAGGCCTAGAGTAAAAGACACTGAGAAGCATAAGGTATTCATATTTTTAAACACCAGTTGAAATTTTAGAGCTTAGTGTGTGGATGTGTTTTATTAATTTGGGGGTTGAGGATAGTGTTACTAATTTTATTCCTCTGCATTCATTCTACATAAACAATATAAATGTTTCTGGAATGGTTAAGACATTGAGAAAACATTAACTTAAGAGTTCAAGTTGGTCATTGTTCCCAGCTATTTAATAGTAGTTTGCCTCTATCACAAGCCATCTCTTAATATATTTAAACTGGTATGTAACTTGATATTCTTATGAAAATATTATTGTTAAAAATGACAAAGTAGTTAAGTTTTTGGTAGGCTTAAAAATATTACATTCAGCAAAAGGACAACTGGTAGAGTTTTCCCGGTTTTACATCACAGGTGGCTATCCAGGTAAGATCAATGTTTCTGTTTAAGATTGATTTCATGTTTTACACTGACCTGCTTGGGTAAGTTGTTGGTTTGCTGTAATAGTTTATCATGTGCATGAACCATTAGTATAACTTCTGAAATAAGTTAATTGCTTATTTAAAAATTGGTATTTATTTTCAGAAATACTTATTAATGTGTTGTGCTTTATTTCTAACTCCAAGGTTGATTTATATATTTTCTAAATTGAGCGACTACTAGAATTATGTTTAATAACAAATATGAATTCAGATCTTGTCAATAATTATTAAATAGTTGTAACTTTAGACTGAACTAAACTAAATCAACACATAAATTGTGACTTTAAAATCATGGCTAGGAATTGGAAGTCATGTTAAAAAAAATCCTACATTGTCAGCTAGTATCTCTATAACAATACACAGTAGACGCTCAATAAATACAGTTGTATGGTTCTGATGAAAAACAAGAAATAGTATTAGACTGACTAGTAAAAGAAAACTGTCATGTTAGAAGTGTGCTTACTAAGTTAATTTTTAAATCATTTTAGATGTACATTTTCTTGATATATTTTTCACTCTTATTAAATCTCAACCTTCACTTTGTTTTGAGGGATCCAAGTGAAGGCGAGGCCAGTGGCAGAACCGACACCTCAAGGTGAGGAGCCACTCAGCTACTTCGCTGCTAGGTTCCCCGTGAATGAAAACGTACTCTGGAAATACGTAGAACACTGAATTAACGTGAATAGAACTAAAAACTAGAGAGCATGTATATTTAAAATTTTTATATTGGGTGGGTTTTCCTAATGTTGCCTAGCTTTTAATTAAGTTTAAGCTAATTAACTTTAGGTTTGTGTTTTCTGAACATCATTTTGAATTGTATGCTTTGTAAAGAAATAGCCTTTCTGTCCTACAAAATATGTTTTAGCAGAAGAATTAATAGATTGAAACATATTGATCCCTTTCTCGCTAAAATGATGTAGTGAACTTAGTTGTAGTCAAATAACAGAACACTGAGGAACCCAAATATGGAGGAACACTTGATATTAGTAGTATATTTTAAGCGAGTATTCAGTTGCAGGCCACATTTAAAAGCTCCCATCCTGATGTACCTTATGGTTTTTTGACATTGAGCAGTGCTTGGGTATTTGTTCTTACAGCTGGTCCCAGACTTGAGCCCAGTCAGAATCAGGTGGAGGGCTTGACAGAGCAGATGACTGAGTTCCACACCCGGGGCGTGTGCTTTGCCGGGAGGGCCAGGCACTGATGCTGCTGGTCTGGGGACCACATTAATGCCGTATTAGAACTTGTGTTCATATGTATAAATGGGGGATTTAAGAAACAAAAGCATTAAGATTATTTTGAGTGTACACCAGCATTGAGGGATACAGTATAACTCTTAGACTGTGACAAGCAGTTTCTCAGTAGGACAAATGCCCTGGCTTCATTCAAGAATGATTTTTGATCAGCTCAATAGAAACCTCAATTTCTACTTTTTAAAATTGTTTGAAATATAAAACATAATGAGCTTTGGAAAACTTTAGTAAGCATTCCCATGTAGTCTTTTTTACAAACTGTGCTATGCTTATGTTTAGTTATAATAGTTGAACTGTTTTCTTTATTGAGCGAGGTACCTGAGTCACCATGGTGGGAAGCCAAAGAGAAGCGGGACAAATATTTTTCACTTTCTTCGACTGTTAAAGGAGCACGAAGTACTTTTGGGGTGTAGCTCCTCCCTCATTTCATCATCATTTGTGTCCCCTTCTTACACCTCCTCCTGTCTGAGGCATTTAATAGCATGTAGTGTCACTGGTGGCCACTGATACTGCAGTTAATCTGCACGCATTTTATCCTTTTAATGTCGCTATGTGTCCCGTTTGTTTTTGTTTGGTTGTTGCTGGGTTTTGTTTTTTTAGCTTTTGAACAAACTTATTAAATATCTACTATCTATAAGTCCTCACAAAACCAGGTGGAAAGTATCCATTTTACAGATGAAGACACAGAGTGGAGCATAGGTGGGACTGAACCAGTTCTAATGAGGTTCTGCCATATCCGAGAGATGGCAGGGCATGATGGGGGAAAGCGCAGGCTCTCCGGCCAGACTGCATGGGTTTGAGCTGTGTTCTACCGCTCACCTAGCCATGTGACTCTAGGAAGTTGCTCTAACTCTTCGTGCCCACATTTCCTCATTCTGACTGCCTCCTAGGATTGTTGCGGAGGGGTAAATGAGTTAACTAATACATGTGAGGCATTTAGGACAGTTCCTGGCTCCTAGTAAGTGCTCAGTAAATGCCAGCTGTTTCTGTTAGTATCAGCATTGCCAGGAGCTTTCTACTGTTAGTGTTACAACAGATGATGCCTTTGAGTGCATGTAGGAAAACAGTCTGTGTGCCTGTTGTCTTAAAGGCACCAGGCTTCCTTTGTGGAATGGCAGGAAAACTAGACTTGAAATAAAACACCTGATTTCTAGCCTTGGCTTTACAACTCATTAGTTCTGTGACCTTAGAAAAATAACCTAACTTCCTAGGCATCAGTTCTGTTTTTAAAATGAGTGTTTGATCAAGTGATCTCTTGGGTCCCTTACAACCCTAGCATGCTGATTGCATAACCTGAGTTGTACATGTGGTCTTGAAACGACTCTGGTTGGATCTGTGCACCCATAGAGGCCTGTGTTATAGTGGCTTAGATTGAATAAGCAAAAAGAGAATCATAGAGACTTTGAAATAAATACTGTTCACACTTATTTAATAGTCTTCAGAAATTTATTTTCTCTTCTTACTTCCTTATTTTCTCAAGTTGCATAATTTGCAGCTATGTGTCCCGTTTGTTTTTGTTTGGTTGTTGCTGGGTTTTGTTTTTTTAGCTTTTGAACAAACTTATTAAATATCTACTATCTATAAGTCCTCACAAAACCAGGTGGAAAGTATCCATTTTACAGATGAAGACACAGAGTGGAGCATAGGTGGGACTGAACCAGTTCTAATGAGGTTCTGCCATATCCGAGAGATGGCAGGGCATGATGGGGGAAAGCGCAGGCTCTCCGGCCAGACTGCATGGGTTTGAGCTGTGTTCTACCGCTCACCTAGCCATGTGACTCTAGGAAGTTGCTCTAACTCTTCGTGCCCACATTTCCTCATTCTGACTGCCTCCTAGGATTGTTGCGGAGGGGTAAATGAGTTAACTAATACATGTGAGGCATTTAGGACAGTTCCTGGCTCCTAGTAAGTGCTCAGTAAATGCCAGCTGTTCCTGTTAGTATCAGCATTGCCAGGAGCTTTCTACTGTTAGTGTTACAACAGATGATGCCTTTGAGTGCATGTAGGAAAACAGTCTGTGTGCCTGTTGTCTTAAAGGCACCAGGCTTCCTTTGTGGAATGGCAGGAAAACTAGACTTGAAATAAAACACCTGATTTCTAGCCTTGGCTTTACAACTCATTAGTTCTGTGACCTTAGAAAAATAACCTAACTTCCTAGGCATCAGTTCTGTTTTTAAAATGAGTGTTTGATCAAGTGATCTCTTGGGTCCCTTACAACCCTAGCATGCTGATTGCATAACCTGAGTTGTACATGTGGTCTTGAAACGACTCTGGTTGGATCTGTGCACCCATAGAGGCCTGTGTTATAGTGGCTTAGATTGAATAAGCAAAAAGAGAATCATAGAGACTTTGAAATAAATACTGTTCACACTTATTTAATAGTCTTCAGAAATTTATTTTCTCTTCTTACTTCCTTATTTTCTCAAGTTGCATAATTTGCAGAGCATTGGGGATACCTAGGAATGGAGGAAAACACATATAAATGTATACATGAATATATATTATATAATAATATTGATATAAAATGTATATAAATCCAAAATATTTATATGGGTTATAAACTTTAAAAGTATATATATCTATACTATATAGATAGATAGATAGATAGATAGATATCATTTCTTTAAAGTACATGTGAGAAAGGTTAACAAGTTAAAATTACAACATCTATATTTGAATAATTACTCAACAAATTTAATCATAGAGTCTTCTGAATCATAAATAATCTAATGATTTTACCTTTCTATGATTATTTGAAAAAGGTTTTCTGGTTCTACATTATTTGTGGGAAACCTATAATAAGGGAAGTTCAATAAGGTTGATTCATTTAATAAATATGTGTTAATCATTCACTATGTGCCCAGCCCAGTTCTAGGGGCCTGATATATGTCAGTAGGCAAAATAGACAAAATTCCTTGCCCTCCTAGAATTTACAGTCTAGTGATACAGTCAGACAGTAAATAATAAGCATAATAAATGAATTAAATAGTACATGAGAATGTGACAGGTACTATAGAGGAAAAAATAGAGCAGGGTAACCAGGATGGTCCATGCCAGGATAGGATTTGGGGGTGCAAGAGAATGGCTGATTAGAGTAGACTGCATAGAGAAAGTGAGCAGAGACTTGAAGTACATTAAGAGCGTTAGTCATACAACTACCTGAAGGAAAAGCATTCCTGGCAGAGGGAACAGCCTGTGTAAACGCCTTCAGGCAAGAACATATGTTGTATATTCAAGGAGTAGCATGGAAGCCAGTGTGTCTTGATAGGGTAAGTGGGGAGGAAAACAATAGGAGGTGAAGTGTTGGGATGGGGATTGGAGTTTAGGTCATGTGGAGCTTTGTAGACTACTTTTCGGATATCGTTAGCCAAACATTGAAGCCATTAGAGGAACTGACATCTCCGCTCCTGTGTGTGGTACGACCTCGCTGCCTTTGCTTCTCTTCAACCCAACATTCTTTCTCAACATTATCAAGTATAAATAATCCCTCTAGCTATTACTACTCTCTGGTCCCCAGTTTTTCTCCTACCCAAAAAGGATAGAAAAAGGAAAATTTCATTTATATTTCAAAATTATGTGTTTATAAGCAGAATGCTAGTGGTCTCTGTTTTGTATAAAAGTGCAGAAGAGAGAGAATCTGCTTTTGCAAACTTTAAAAGAGAAATATGGAAAGAACTGAGGAAGTATTAAGTTCTTCATTTTTAGCTGCAAACTTGTTTACCACAAACAAATGTATTTAAGGAAATATGCCATTTTAGATAGAAGATATTAGTAAAAGTAAAAACAGATGGTGTCCTGGGATCTCTTTTTGTAACAGCAAGATGACATAAATGTTTGTATCTACCTGAAGGTAGTCTGCAAATTGGGTAGTTTTATTAGTCACTGAATTATGACCACTTCTATATGTGTTTAGAATTGTGCCACTTCGATTTTGTATGTGTTTAGATTTCTTTACTGAATGAGATTTTTGTTTTCATTCTTCCCCTTTGCCCTCTTATTCCAGAATTACATCAGGGGAACCAAAAGAGAGAGACAAGGAAGAGGGTAAAGATTCCAAGCCACGTTCCTTGCGGTTCACCTGGAGCATGAAGACCACTAGTTCAATGGACCCCAATGACATGATGAGAGAAATCCGCAAAGTGTTAGATGCCAATAACTGTGATTATGAACAAAAAGAGAGGTTTTTGCTTTTCTGTGTCCATGGAGATGCTAGACAGGATAGCCTTGTGCAGTGGGAGATGGAAGTCTGCAAGTTGCCACGGCTGTCACTTAACGGGGTCCGCTTCAAGCGAATATCTGGGACATCTATTGCCTTTAAGAACATTGCATCTAAAATAGCAAATGAGCTTAAGCTGTAAAGAAACTCACATTTACAGAATCAGGGAAGATACATCCATATCTGAGGTACAGTTTTTGAATGTACTGGTATTACCTAACGTGATTGGCCTGTGAATCTCCCCATGTAGTATTTGTCCTTAATGCAATAAGGTTATACATAGTTCTGAACTGTAAAATTAAAGTCAGTGTGAACTATAATAAATACTTGTAGCTAAAAAAGTAGGTTCACATGTACAGGTAAGTATATTGTGTATTTCTGTTCATTTTCTGTTCATAGAGTTGTATAATAAAGCAGATCATTGCTTAAAAACTTGTATAGTTGTCTAGATTTCTGCACATAAATATATGTTTGATTCTTTCAGTTGAAAATGTTCTTCCCTGTTATTTACATTCTGGTGGGTTTTTAGAATTCTTACCTCCATCATGTAATTTTGAAAACTGTGTCCAGAATTAAAAGTGCACAGAAATAATCTTTAAAATTGTAGCATGGACTTCTAAAAATTATTTTCAAATCACATTTAAATTTAAACCAGAAGCTGGTAAATAGATCAGCTTAATTATACACAGAATTATTCCTGCTTATCTTTGCTCTTATCCTTGCTATCAGACAAGGTTTAGCTGAAAAGAAACAGATGTTGACAGTGTTGGCACTTAGAATTTTTCTGATAAAGTACATGAAAATAATAATAGCTTTGCTTTGAGTTAACTAAGAAGTACTGTGGAAGAAGTTAACCTACATCAAATTTCTTTTGGACTTTAAAGTGTTTCTGGCCCACTGCTAACTGTAGCAGCAAAATTAAAAAGAATCATTACTTCATCTGGCTATTATATTGTAAGACATCACTTAGGTTTGCCGCCTTCCAGATACCGCACTGTAATTGCGGACATGATACTGGGACTGTTTCATAGCACAAACTCACCTTTACAGTGTTGATCAATGCATCAGTTAAGAAATAATGCCACCTCAGGAATTAACTGGCATTGGGAACATTTGCCTCATTCTCCTCCCATCCTCTTCATCCACCCCTGACACAGTAATATCTGTAAGTACTTAAGAGACTTTTGAGCAGAATGTACTATTTATAGCAGTATATATTATTGATTTATGCTTATGTGGTTGTTCAGTTTGTCCCCATGTAGCCTATTTGTTTTTAATATTTTTCCAGATTTCTTGTATTTATTCCACATCATTATGCCTATAATGTGCAGCTTTGTAACTGGGCATTTGCCTACTTTCTTTTCATAATTAGTGACATATGCGATGTAAAACCACTATGAAGGTACATTTTAATACTTGTTATTTTATATTGAATTAGCCTTGGAGGTTGACTGTGCAATGTTATTTAATGTTGTAATTACTGTAATATCAACATATGGGCCCCATCTGCACACTCCTGAGAAATAGAAAGTGTATTCAAATTTTATCAGTTTAAAGGAAAATAAAGCTGTGATAAATACTGTAATTCTAACCTACGTTAGGAAGCTCTAAGTGCAGGTCATGTGCCATTCCATAATGGCTTCCAGACTAGGGTGAACTTTACATTCTGTACTGTACTGTGATGTAGCTTTCTTCTGTAACAGTTCTGTTCTAAAATGAAGTGTATTTTGCCTTAGCAAAAGATGGTGTTTGGAAAAAACAAATTGTGTAGCCCCTTTTTAACCTAGTGTTCATTCAAAGAAAAATGATGCGAATCTTTATTCATTTTCACTGGTGCACACTGAAATTTTACTTGAATAGTTCTCATAATAAAGCACTTGTCTTTTGCTCTTTATCAGAATGTGAACTACCTGCTTTCTAAGTACAAAAATATTCTGAATGGGGAGTTTATGTCATGTGTTATAATATAGTTGACAGGGGTGAGGCTATGTAGGTTTATCAAAATGTCATTATGACAAGAAAAATTTAATCTTTTTATAGAAATTAGACATCACAACTAATAAAATAGACATCATAACTTTCCCAAGGTAGAAACTGGTATTTTTTACATTTTCTCACCTCTGGTTAACTCTTATGTGTTTGTGGCAAAGAATTTTACTTGAATATTTTTTATGAAATAAAAATGAAATCTTGGTATTTACCTTAGATTTTTTTTCCTATTTTATAAAAAAAACATAAGTATATTTTTGAAGATTTATAGGAATTTTACAGTATATTTGCATAAATACCAGTTTTTGTTCACTGGCCATATGATAATAGGATTTCCTTGGTTTCTGTTTACTACTTGATATAACATCAATTTAATTACATTAAATTATTTTGTAGAGACTGGAGCACTCTTTAATTTGATAAATAAAAGTTTGGTAAGTAATAAAAAATATTCTCTAAGGTAAGATTTGATTTAAAACCCAAAATACCTTATTGTGAAGTGATTTTCACCAATAGTACCATTTCATAGTGTAGGCAACAAGAATAATGTGATGAGTGAGTCACCAGTTTACTGTAAATAAGTGATTCTGTCAGCATGTATAAATTAATCAAGATGATCTCTGCCTTCATTTTTCAAATATCTATTGAGGTACCTACTATGTCTTAAGTTACACTAAAGAATTGTTAAAAGATGGTTCTTACTTCTCCAAGATTTTGGTCCATTTGGCAAGGCAAAATGTAAACACACCCGAACTGGAAGCAATGGAAGTGCTCTAATAAGCACTGACAATAGATGCTGCAGGAATTCAGAGAAGGGTGAGTTTCCTATGAATATGAGAAAGGCCTTTTGAGGGATTTGAGGATGGATAAAATTTAGACGGCAGAACTGAAAAGACCAGAACATGTGAGGAAAGGCTTGAAGTTAGTAATGGCTATAAGACACATGTTAGAAATGAATCACTAATTCTAGGAAATAGTAGGGTACACACAGGTTGATTAATAGCAGATTATGGAGAGCAGTGATTGGCATCCTGAGCTTGGACTTCATCTGTGTTTCAAGGGGAGCAGTTGGGAGGCTTTTCAAGCCAAGGAAGTGCCTAATAAAGTGCTTATAAAAGAAGAGTAACTCATTAATTCAGTAACTTTGTTGAGTGCCAAAGTATAATAGAAATTTGTAGGCAGATTTAAGTCTAGAGATAGGAAAATCTTTCAGAGGCTACTGGCAATAAAGCAAACATTAAATAGCTTAGATAGAGGTGGTTTACACAAGATTGAAAAGGGGTATATTTTGGAGACATTTGAAAAGATATATCAACAAGATACCAGTAGGATGGGACTATAAAAAGGATGAGTTCCTGGCATATGATTCAAGTTTTCAGCTTGCATATCAAGACTGCCTTTTTCGTCTAACATAGATAACAAATACCAGTTATCCTACCCAAAACAAGAAAGACACAAAATACATGAAACCATAGTTTCATCTAATGTTTTCATTTTGATGAAATGTTCTCAAAACATTGATTATCAGTCAATGAAGACAATGATCCCTGAGAGGAAACAAATGAAATGAACCCTATGAATGATGCATCTATCTTCTGTAAGAATTCCCAGGCTGTGGCATAAGCAGGGGGAAGCCAAGTGGAACCTAGTGTACACCCTCATTAAGGAGTCAGAGCTGAGAGACCTGGCAGACCAAAGCAGCTAGAGCCTGGAGACAAGAGAACTGTACAAAAACTCCAGAGATCTGCAGAGAGCAGCTCATGCATTGAGTAAACTGCATAAGGCCAGTACAAGAACTGTCTGAAAGAGGGAACAATCAAACCACATACATAAATAATGCCTGAGGCATAGTGAAAAACCTCATATTCCATGGGTCAGCGGGTAGACTACTCAGAAGTTTTGCCTCAGTAATGAAAGCTGTCGTAATGAAAGCTATCGATAGATTAAATACTTATTTGGTCCTGCTTAACAAGCAATATCCAGTAGGATAATTTTCTGAGTAACTGAACTATGTCCCAGAACAAAGTCCAAGAATATTAATGGGAATACAAAATGTGCATTCACCACATAATCACATTCGCAATATCTAGCATCTGTTTGTCAGTTTTTCTGTGTGCACAGAATGCAGGAAAATACAACCCATAGGAGAAAAAAATCATTGATGCCCACCCAGAAATAGCAGAGATGATAGAATTAGACAAGGACATTAAAGCAGTCATAATTACATTTCATATGTTCAAGAAGCTAAAAGAAAGATGAAATATGGTAAATAAAAACATAAGTGGCATAAAAAACAATCCAGACATCTAGAAATGAAAACTATAATTTCTGAGAAAAACACACTGGATGGAATTAGATTAAACATGGAAGAAAAGATACTGACTTGAAGACATAGCAATTGAAACTATTCAAAATGAAACAACAAAAAAAACAGGCAGTGCATCAGTGAACTATAGGACTTCAAGCAGCCTAATGTATGTGTAGAATCCCTGTGGAAGAGGAGGGAAGGGGGAGAGAAAAAAACAGTTGAAAATATAATGGCCAAAATGTTTCTAAGTTTGCAGGAAACCATAAATCTACAGACCCAAATGTTTAACAAATCCCAAGGCCAGGAAACATGAAGAAAATGATGCCAAGGCATATCACAATCTAATTGTTTTTAATAAAAACAACTTAAAATCAGCAAAAAACTGATAAAACAACAGGAAAAAGTTGGAAAGAGGAATAAAGACAAGGATGACATCAGTCTTCTTGTCAGAAACAATGGGAGCCAAAAAACAGTACTGGAAGAAATAAAACTGTCAAACTAGAATTCTATACCCAGATAAAATATCTTTCATAAACCAAGGTGAAATAAAGACTTTCAAATACAAAAGCTGAAAGAATTCATCACTAGCAGACTTAACACTATAAGGAGTGTTAAGGAAAGTCTTTCAAGCAGCAGAAAAGTATACCAGATGGGAATTTTCATCTACACAAAGGAATAAAGGGAGCCAAAAATAACTACTATGTTTAAGGCAAAAATAGTAATAATGTATTTTAGGACTTATGTAGAAGTAAAATTATGGCAATGTAGCACAAAGACCCAAAGGGTTTTTTTTTATAAGGTTCTTACACCGTATGTTTAGTGGTACAGTATCACTTGATAAATTTTGATGTTAAAGATGTATCCGATAAACATTAAAGCAACCACTAAAACTACACAACACAATTCAAGCTAATGTAACAATAAAGGAGATAATTTGAAATTTTTTTTAAATCCAAAGAAGGCAGAAAAAACTAACAATGGGAACAAAATACAGATGGTGAAATAAAAAAGAGCCAATGGCAGTTTTAAACCCGACCATATCAGTGATTTTAGTAAGTATAGATGGCCTGAAAGTCCTGATCAAAAGGCTGCAGCTGTCAAAGATGATTTTAAAAAATCAAGACCCAACTGACTATATTCTGCTTACAAGAAACCCACTTTAGATATGAAGACACAAATAAGTTAAAAGTAAAAAGATAAAAAAATGGTGAGCTATCTGGTTTAGAGGTAAAATAAGTTTTCTTTCAGGCTGTAAGTCCTAAAATCATAGCATAAAAATCAGCTTAATATTTCACAGATTAATAGGTTGCAGCTCGGTGTAGTAACTTAGAGGCTGAGGCAATGGACTCTTGAGTGGACATATCCTGTAGACGGGAGATTATGAATTGTAACCTGAGTGAGCAGTAATATTTTATGGATTAATAGATAGCAACTCAGTGCAATAACTTAGATGCATGCTGAGATAATGGACTTTGAGTGGAGATATCCTGTAGACAGGATTTGGTGAATTGTAACCTGAGTGAGAATTAATGTTCCACAGATTAATAGATTGCACCTCAGTGCAGTAATTTAGATGCAGGCTGAGATAATGGACTCTGAATGGAGATGTCCTGTAGACAGGAAATGATGAATTGTAAACTGGGTGAGAAGCTGGATCTATAAATAAAGGCATATTTGGGTGTTATCAGCAAAGATGTGATCAGTAAATGAAGTAAAAATGTATAGTCATAGTCCAGTGATTGATGCTTGGAGGAATAGTAAATATATAGATATTTCTAAATGTGAAAATCATATATCATGCATCTATGGGTTTTGAAGCATTAAAAAGTGAATTCTCTTTATTTTAGGAGATAATATTTTTCTTTCTCCAAATTCATATTCTAACAATGACTCAAAAATTAGATTATACATTTATATGAAACCTTTTCTATGTGGCATTTACAACATTTTTTAAAACCAGCATGGGTAAAAGTTAAATGTTTTTTTCATTCATCTCATTGGTCTCTAATATCATTTGCATTTCTTGTGTTATGTAACAGAAAACCACAGTACTTTTTCAGGAGTATAAAGAAAGGTGTGCGAAGGAGGAGGATCTGTGGTGAGGATGGAAAAAAAGACATGCTTTTAAAAACTTACAGCTAATACCTACTTCAACTTTTTTTTAAAACTCTTAGCATACACTGTATAGTATGACAGTAAGTCCAAAAAACTGCGTAGATATGGAATATCTACAAGAAACATCATCTTGCATCTTTTAAATATATTTCTACCTAGATAAGAAAAGCCGTAGTTCATGATCACTGCAAATAGACTTGTTCTGTAAAGTGTCCTAAATAATTGCTGCTTATTCAGCTTACGAACAATGGTTCAGTGGTAATATATTTAAATATAGGCAAAATCTGGAGAAATGGCATTTCAATCTAGTGCTTTATTTTTCTAAGAAAAAACAATTTTAGAAGACAGTTTAGAATATGAAGTTGAAAATGCTATCTCTTGAGGAGTACTAGTGTTAGATCACCTCTAGGTAAGTCATATTTTAACTTAGGTGGTGCCATAGAAGTAGTAAAGCAAGTAAAATAATAGAAAACCCCCACCAG